CACTAAAACAATGCGGTTGCAATCAAGTCTCCAAAGACTACACTCGACTGTGTAGAAGTACATTTCTTGACTTAGTCAAGGTAACAAAATAAAAACAACAACAACAAAAACCACTCACATTTTCTCTAGGTAAGTGGATTGCTAAAGTACAGGGCATCTAGAAAAATCTTTTGTGTTTGAACTTTCTGTTCAACATTTGTCAATTTAACAACTTGTCTTTAAGAACTCCATTACATAGCTTTTCATATTACTGGCTGCATCCTTTCAATCATTCTTGCTATTAAAAATCAATGCAATAAATAGCTACTCTGTTTAGAAGCTGGGAACTAGCAAGAAATTATCAAACCAATTAACTCCTTAACTCAAGAAACACTCAGTGTGAACACATCCATAACAGGAGAGGCCTAAACAAGGGTGAAAGTGAGTCCTGTTCCCCCTCCTCTTTGTCTTACAACCCTGGGGAGGGTCTGGGTGAGTATTCTATTTTGCTTGCCTCCTTATTTATTGGTTAATATAACATCTATAAAATGTATAAAATGTATAATTATATAAATTGCAAAATTGCTCTCATGCAACCAGTACTTACATTGAATCCAATCAAATTAGTCTTGTGAATCCAAAGTTTATTAAATTTGCATTGCTGAAAATTGTCCAGCCACAAAAAAATGAGGAGCAGGGATGATCATCGGCAACACAGTGGGTTTATTTCACATGGCAACCAGAAGAGATGACAATTACCTTTCCATTTGAACCTTAGAAATGGAGGAAAGGAAGGCAGATCCATGAAGCTTGCACTGAATTGTTATATGGCATTCTTGATACTGTAATTTGTTGGACACATCATTAACACCAGTCACAGCTTGAAGCTTAGCAGCTAGATCATTGGAAGACTTGAATTCCTGTTAATTTTTATACATTTTCTCATTCATATCTATCCCATTTTTATTAACATTTACCTATACTCAAAGGAATTTCTAAGACACCAAAGATGTGGATTTTAGTCTCTGATCTCAGCCATCATTTCTTAATGATTGTCAATGTTCTTGAGACCTAGCTTGGGGTTTCAAAAGTGAATCAGCCTGATAATTTATACTTCCCCGGGTCACAGAAAAGTTTCCATGTTAATTTTTGCTATTTTGTGAGACTCGTGCTCTTAAATGTGAAGTGGTAGAAAGATACAAGGTACCATTGAAATTTGTTTAAATCCATCCTGTTTCTTTTACAAAACATCCCTTATTCTGTGCTGTTTCTTTTTTCTTTAGTCCATCAGGGCTTATCCCTTTCAACACCGTGGGTAGCTACCACCAGAGAATCCTATGTATATCTCTAGCAAACACTCCAACATGAGTTCTGTCCCTATTTGATCATGTCATATTATGCCACATTTTTATAATTAGACTCCCCTTTCCCTCAGCCTTAATCCAATTCACCATCTGTAGGCTTTCTTGTCCTGGGAAGCACCTTCTCTCTCAAGAACTCAAAAACCCAACTTCTCAAACTCCTTTCTTGTCCAGGACACTTCTGTTGGTTATCATATTTGCTTCATTACACCACCTTGGTACTATTGGAATATGCATCCAATCCTTCCCATGTCATCCTGCCTTAACGTATTTGAAGTTACCATCAGCCTTTTACTTAGAATGCCACATTAAGTACTGTATGATATCCAGGTCTGGCGAGGTGTGCGAGGAAAAAAAAAAAAAAAAAAAAAAACTGTTTTAGTTGAATTCACATCTTATCACTCACCAGAAGTGATTGTCACTTCCACAAAAGGGTGACATAAAGGAAACACACCCTAATGTCTCCAGCCTTCTTGAGAGTCCTGATTCTTCCTTTACCTGAAACTTCCATACCCTTACATCAAACTCATACCAGTCTACTTTTCAGTTGGATCATGGTGTTTCCTGCTCTAGCATGCCATAGCCATGTACATGCTGATAAACTCCAACTATTTTCTAACACGAAGTGGGAACTTCTGCAAAGCATCTCCTCTTGCCACTACCTACAATGTTCATATATAAAGACATAGAAAGATATTGCCTGACATATGTAATAATGTGAGAGTGAAAAAAAATAGTCAACAGAAGGGGCCAATAAGAAAGAAGCATGACAGACTAAAATTCTATTTTTTGTCTTAGAGTCACAAGATTTTATGGCTGAGAGAGTTCTTACAGGCAATCCAAAGTTTTCTGTGGTTTCCATATAAAAAAGTAAAAAGCTCTTGTCTTAAGATGAAGTTTGGGAAATTCGTATCCAATTGTGTAATACTGACTATAATTTCAGTGATCCTTATACAGCATTCATGAAAGCAATCACTTCAGTGTTCACCCATAAAAACGGGATCCCAGAATCCGCACTTCAGAGTCTCAACTCCTGTCATGTCCCTTAGCCACCATCTAAACATTCCCCAAGAAACATATTTGTTTTTGTCATTTTGTGCCCAAACATCACTGCCTATATCATACATTCTCTGATTACAAATAAGCAAATATCGACCACAGACTGGGACAACTGAACCTCCCTAGCATTTTCAAAAACTCTGTTCCTAGTGAAAACTACAGAAAGATCTGTTATATCCCAATGTTGACTTGCATCATTTCACTGGGAAAAGTTTTAGGGTAGCAGGGAATTGAGCAAGGTCTTGGCATATCGTACATTGTCACAGGAAATGGTTACCAATCATTAGACTCACTCAGAACTGTCTCTGAGTTTATGAACATCCAAACCCAGTTCTTTAAATGAAACATCTTAGGGAATGTTAGTGTTTGAGTGCCTGAAAATGTAAGTCACATTAATATTAATAACTGATATATTTCAAGTTGTTTCATCATTCATAAAGGCTTTAGGGTACATAAAGTTTCAAAATCATGTTTTCCTTAAGAATTCACATTTCAGAGGTATCAACATTGCTAGGAATCAGTTCACCCATCTTCATTGAACCCAGGACCACGGCCTGACTGAATTGCAAGCAATTTTGTTTTTCAAATGTGATCTACTTTCCCCAGACGGGTTTTGTGAAAATCTGTCCAGGTTGTACTTAAACCTCTAGCTTCTGCCTTCGACTCTGATTCTGAAAAGTTGAGGCTATCCCGTGCCTTTGTTTGGAGGGTGTACCTCTGCTTAAAAACAGGTTCTCGCTTTCCCCCAGTCCCCAGTGCTGAGTGTCTGGCATGAAAAATGACCCTGATACTTGGAAAGGAGTTTCCCGTACAAGTCCCTCAGGTCCCATAATGGCAAAACCTCCTCGTCCACTTTATAGAGCCACCCCACCCCACAGAAGAACATGTACAGGAAAAGCAGCCCTCCCTTCCCCCACACGTTTCCTCAGTTTATTTATGAAACATCTTGGAATGAGAATGAGCTGCTTGTGGTTCCTGTGGCTGATTCGAGGATGGTTTCCTGCAGGCCGGGGGAAGCTGGTCAACCGAATGACCTCTGTTTAGCTAATCCATCTACCCCAATGGGAAGGCTGTTTGGTTTTATGGGTACCATTTCTAACTATGTCTAGAGGACTTTTATTTTTGCAATGAAGAACTTAATAACCAATTATCACTGTGAAGAAAGACTAGTAATGTAAATGTCTATCAGAGCTCATACCTTCCCTTACTATTCTACTTGAAATCCGAAGTATTCCTCACAGGCTCATGTTTTGAATACTTGTTGCTCAGCTGGTGATAATATCTGGGGAGGGGTGGAGGCCTTAGGTGGGGCCTAGCTGGTGGAGAAAGATTATTAATGGGGACCTTTGAAGTTTATTGCCCAGACCCTGATTTGCCTCCCAATCCACTTCCTGGTGTGGCACTGTAAGATCGGAGGGCTTTGTTTCTGCAATACAGAATTTGATAATCTGACATCACTGCAAAGACAGATTAATAATGGTCATGTCTATTGATGTTTGTATCTTCCTCAGTCAACAAAAGAAGTCAGAAATATGCTAAGATAACTTTAGACACCTGTGTGCACCTTCTCAAAGGAACAACGTCTTCCTCCAGGCATCTAGAAAGGCCTATAAAGGATTAGCATTGTATTGGGACAGAGAAAGAAGTTAGGCTTGAACACGAGCTTCATGAAGCATACTCCGTATTTAGTCCTATCAGATGACACGTAATTAATGCCTATAATCAAGTTAAATGAGAGGGGTCCAGGTCAGTGGTTACTCAAAGATTTCTTTATGTCTGTTTAGATTTGCCAGTGATCACCGATGACTTAGAAATCTGGGAAAGTGTCCTGACAGTGATCACTCTATTAGACTAGTCCATCCTCAGCAAATATGCCTTTTGCTTGAATGAGCAGATTTAAATAGAATCACAAAAAGTCTAAGACCTCTCCCAAAGGACAAAATAGTAAATAGAAATTAAAATAAGCACTGATATTTGACCCATAATATGAGTTACTAATAAATAAGATTTGAATGCCAAGTTTTTACATGATATCAATTTGAATGGTAAGAACAAATATTTCAGAAAAAAAATGGGCAGTGACAAGATGCTAATATAGTTTCTGAATCCGTTTGAGTTGTACTCTTAGGCCATCATTTAAAATAGATGTTCTAGACCTAATCTAGGACCCAGTCTCCTCACTCAAGTGCATGCTATTACCCTTGCTGAGGAAATCAGAGGTATGTGCTTATCATCTGTGACACATACAAAATCAAGTCAATTCTACCCATTTCCTTATATAAAAAATAATGGCTAATCCTCCATTTTCCTAGATGCTAATTCAGTAAGTTTATTTTACTGAAGTTTTTTTTTGATGAATCATTTGAATCAAGTATATTATGGATTTACAAATTCACAAGTGTATGAAACTAAAAATTAGAAATAATATATATGGTTAAGGAAAGTTTCAGGTTAAAACAAAAGGTAGGGGGCATTTTATCTCATTCACCCACTATCACCAAATTAAAAGCTAATTAAAGTAACATAATCACAGACCAACATGTCATTAAATTTTATATCTGCAGCCTAACTTCTCTCTGTTTTTCTGTCTTGTCTCCCCAGTGCATCCTAATGTCAGCCAAGGCTGCCAAGGAGGCTGTGCGACATGTTCAGATTACAATGGCTGTTTGTCCTGTAAGCCCAGACTATTTTTTGTTCTGGAAAGAATTGGCATGAAGCAGATAGGAGTGTGTCTCTCTTCGTGTCCAAGTGGATATTATGGAACTCGATATCCAGATATAAATAAGTGTACAAGTAAGTACCCATACCACTTTATATTTTTATCTTATCCTCGGGGATTTCTCCTGATTAAGTGAGCTCCTAATCAACCTAAAATATTAAAAAATAAGTAATATTTACATAATATTTAGGCTACTGCATACATAGATTAGCCCTTGGGGCAGAAAACTTCCACTACTAACTTAAAAAAAAATCCACTCAAGTTTTGTTTTTTTGTTTCTTGTTTGTTGGTGTTCAAAACCTAGAGCCAAGAACATGATTATCAATTACTACACCTATAAAAACTACAATAGGTATCATAACCAACTGAGTTTTCATTACCATTATAAAAGCCAAGTACTCAATAACTGAAAGAATTATTTCAGCCATTTTGACTTCTATAAGCTTCAAGTACAGAAAACATTATTTTATCAGTTGGAAAGAATGTCTATGATCACAGTCATCTTGACCCCAAAACTTCAGTTTCAGCAATGGAAACCAAGTGACCCTGAAAGATGCAAACTATGGAACATCACAAGTCACCACACTCATGCTCCCAAGCCATTGCTGTGACTCCCTTACTCCCTTAACCTTACTGTCACCCTCCTAAGAGCTTACCAGGGCAAGACCTGCCTTTGCAATTTTTGTTCCTCACTGACTCTTTGGACACTTTGGGAGCTTCTTGTTTCCTCATTGAGATTATAAAGGTGTCACCTCTGTAAGTGTTCCGTGGTCTTCTTATCCAGAATAGGTCTCTTCCATTTGTCAGTCACATGCCTGGTTTCCCCACATGTATCTGTTGCTATTGTGATTGTTGTTTTCCAGAACACTTACTCTGGAAACAGATTTTTTTTTTTTTTAGCCTGCCTCCATGCTTCTTGACTAGACTTGAGCTTCAGTTATCTTGACTATAAATGAGTTATTATCATGACGACTGTATTGGTTTATGCTTAAGTTTAGCTAACAATCTGGCAAAAATACTCATAATAACCATGCCTTATGGGAATCATTGCAAAAGAGTCAACTGATGATAATGCTTACTGTGGCAGGCAAGAACACTGGACATAACCCCCAAGATCTACCAGTATCTACTGAGCTTTTGACATATAGTGGACAGTTACATTTTGGTGAATGGACAAATAACTCTTAAGAACAATATGAATGCAATATCTCTGTGTATTCAGTTCAAATTATAGTGAAGTATTATTATCATTTAATTGAAAGAGCAATTTGGCCAAATGGACAGGTTGAGTACCTCTTATATGAACTGTCTGGAACCAACTTTGATTTAGATTATTGGATTTGAGAATGTTTATATAGAATTTACTGGCTGAATACCCCTAACCCAAACCTTTAACATTTGGAACATGATACCAAAGATCCACCTGTATCAGATTTTAGAGGAATCTATATTTTAGATGCTGGAAATAAGGGTGTTCAGTGTATGTCATTAAGATATTCTCATGAGACACTCTGTACCACAATTTTTAAAGCAGCAACTGATATTTACCAGCTAAATGATTTTGGGAGAATCCATAGTTCAGTCTGGTAAAATAACATTGAACCCCAGCTTTGATGTAAGTTTTGCATGTGCCATAGTTTGAAGAAGATATCAGAGCCACAATTCTTTATCTGTGTTTCTCTTTCAGAATGCAAAGCTGACTGTGACACCTGTTTCAACAAAAATTTCTGCACAAAGTGTAAAAGTGGATTTTACTTACACCTTGGAAAGTGCCTTGACAGTTGCCCAGAAGGGTTAGAAGCCAACAACCATACTATGGAATGCATCAGTATTGGTGAGGAAGCCCTCTAAGATTTAGAATGGATGAGAAACACCTCAGATGACAATGGCAGTCTCTATGAAGATTCTTCTCAAAGCCCCATTATACAAGAACATAAGAGGCTAACTTTAATGCCTTACCCATCTTTACTTACAAAAATACTGTCCATCATGTGTCATGAGCAACTTCAGAGTGCTCTGCTCTTACTTAAGGGCTACTTTTAATTGTTTCAAACTATTCTGATCAAAGATTTGCTACATTTCCGAGAGGGGGGGGAAAGAGGGAGGAGGTACTCAAGTAATTTTCACTTTGTACCAAGAGTTTTACAAAATGCCCTAAATTTAATAACAAGACAAAATCAAAGTTGATTTTTCTTGCTGTAGTGGTCTTCTTTTACAGGTATTAAGAACACACACACACACAGAGGGAGAGAGAGAGAGAGAGAGAGAGAGAGAGAGAGAGAGAGAGAGAGAGAGAATTTGGGACCCACTCAAATTGACAGAATGAGACAGTGGGACCCACTCAAATGAGACAGTCCCAAATTTGATTAATTGCAGGCCTGGTTTTCTGGAGGGGAGGTCCCTCACACAAGTTGTCTGTCTAAATAACAGATCACTGTCAGGCTATGTTTTCTCTCTTTTAAGTGTTACACAGCTACTAGAGCTATGAGTTGGATGCACACTTGGGGAACAGATGCTAAACTGAATGAGAAAACAGCAAAGGAAAACTCCAAGTCCCCTGAGCAGTGGCTGCAGGAACCTTTGATGCTGCCCCAAAGCTGGCATGTGTACACAGAGCCTCCTGATTCAGTATGAGATAGTCTCCAGGGGTGCCCCCAGGCCCCCCCCCCACTGTATGCTTCTGTTAGAATCTACGGTGTTGGAGAAATAATTATATGTTGGTGGCTTAACCACTTCAGGACAGCCACAGCTTTTATTTCTGTACACTTTAAAAAAAAAAAAAACCAATATATGATATTTGAAAGTTAATGCCAGAAGCACTGGAAGACAACAGTCCTAAGTCAGTCTGGGTCTGTTTAAGCCTTTCCTCTAGTCAATAGGAACAAAGGGAAACAAGGTAGGAAAAGGTAAATGGTCCATGAGAGCTCTCCTAGTCTACTCATCCTGAGGGTTGACAATTAGAAGCAGTAAGTTCCAAGAAGTGGGGGGGAAAACAGGAAACACCCCATGAAATATTCAGGAATAGACATTGGGGATGAGTTACTGGAAGCTTGTGGGATTTGTTCTTCACTCAGCATGAAGGACATATATTTAAGTTTTGTTAGTTGTTGGAAGGTGCAGCATTCAGCCTTCAAAGCTAAATATTCCTATCAGGGAGTGTGGCATTTTGGGATTAGCTCTCAAAGAAAACTGTTTTTATATCTCCTAAATTACCAAGTTTCATTCTTATCATGCATTTTAGATGATAATTATATATTTTAAAATGGGCACTAGCGCCAAATGGCCACATACTGAATAAGTGACCTAGGACACATCTGTATTTTAAATCAGCAACTTCGGCCCCAGACTGGCTCTTGGAGCTCATTCCCTAAGGGAAGACTCCTGTCATTTGGGACTTCTCCTCAGGCATAGCACGCTCAGGCTTGCTGTAGATTATCAGAGAAAATGATACCATGCGTCATTACACAAAGGATTATCAAAATGGTCCCTGTAACAAGGGTGGAAGATTAGGACCTGGAGAGCTGAAATATGGGCTGCTTTTTCTATTTAGAGGTAAAATTGAGAGGAAAGGTTTGAAAGAGAAAAAGAATCACCCCATATAGCCAGGGCAGGAAAGATCAATATCACAATGTATTCAGTTCCCATGGTTCAGGAATCGAATTAAGCATATGCCTCCACCTTTGTACACAGGGCATCTTCTTTCCAGGTTGGACTCCAGATAGTTGCTTTCTCTCTGTCTTCCTCCTTGTTCCTCTTGGGGAAGCAAATAGTCACAGAAGGGGAATGTGACACTGTAAGCGCTGAGACTCAGGGCTTGCTCATGCCCTCCCTGTGTATTCAGTTAGTGACCAAACCTTCCTCCCTGTTTTGCCATCACTTCCCCTATATCTCAGAGTGTTAACCAACTACAGTGTGACCCTTTCTGGTATCTGGGGGCTCATTAGACTTTGTGAAATACTTTGTTGGTGCATAGCTTCCTAGGTTAAAGTCATTCTTATCTTTTAGCAAAGTTACGTTCCAGTTCTACGTTCTTCATTTCAGCTAAATCGAATGTAAATCATCCTTTCACGTTGCGTCTATTGATTGTCTGAAGCTTCCTTTTTTTAATGAAAATATATTATTTGCTGTGTGAGGCTTTTGTAAAGTATTTCTGAAGGAGAAAGAACTCCTCCCTTCATACCTTTCTTACCATGTGATCTAAACAGTTTTACTATCTAATCTCATTAGTTATATTTCCTCTTCCTATGGAATTAATTATCTAAGGTTTACATTAGAATTTCACCTTTATAACCATTCATCTTCTGATTACTTAGATCAGTAGAATTGGGAAGGAACTGACCCAACAACATGTGTACTAGAAACATCCTACCTCTGCCCCTTACTTGTGTTATCTTGCCCAACTTTGCTGTGTAGAATTTCTCCTAGAAACTTAGATGTATGCGGCTAAATGGTGTGGGTTGGTTGTTTGTCTGCTTGTTTGTTTCATTAGTAATCCTGCCTGTGCCTGAGAGCCAGCTGAGACTGTTTCTGTTTGCTTTCAGTTCACTGTGAGGCCAGTGACTGGAGTCCTTGGAGTCCATGCATGAAGAAAGGAAAAACATGTGGCTTCAAAAGAGGAACCGAAACACGGGTCCGAGAAATACTACAGCATCCTTCAGCCAAGGGTAACCTGTGTCCCCCAACCAGCGAGACAAGAACGTGTATAGTACAAAGGAAGAAGTGCTCGAAGGGAGAGCGAGGTACAGACACACTAACAAATGTGCTTCTCTGAGCCCTCACAACTTGATGCCTATTTCACTTTATAACTTTATATGGGATAGTTGGCAGTATTCCTCACACCCAAAGCTCTAAAATGTGTAGAAAAAAGAACATTATGGCTCCAAGTTACAGATTATAGATAGGATATATTTTTAGTATGGAGCCTGATCTCAGAACTTTAGAGTATAATAAGTGAATCTCATTTCAGAAGACTACTGTAAAAGCATCTGGGCTTGATCTCCCGCCCCCCCCCCCATCTTATCTATCTGTTGTGTTAATGCCTAGGAACTTTTGGTAAGTTTTGTAAACACAACATGAGTATCACCTGGAGTAAGAGGACCACCTTCACCAATACATTTCCTTTGACAATTGCTTATAAATTAAGTTGGTGCTGATGATTCCTAGTAAACAACCAAGAGCACTGAGGATGTACTGTCCCAAGTTGCTTTTATATATTTCATATGAGGTTGCACAACCTGTAATACCAATATGATCTGTGTCAGAACTTTTTAAAATTTGAAAGTAGTGAGGAGAAATTTACCTTGAATGTAGGGCATGAGTGGGAATAAACTTTTTTTTAGAAGAACTGAAGTTGCAGATTTTTAAATGATTGTTTTTCCAGATTTCTCAATCACATCCCCAGTACCACTGCCTACAAATATGCTGTGTACCTTTAAATAATTATAGGTAATCTTCTGGCAAGCCTGTAAATGACCCTCTCAATTAACTAACTGACAGAAGCTGGATGCCCCTGCAGCTAAACTTCCTTAGCTTATTTTAGTGGTTTCTTCGCTTATTCATTCAACAAGCTTGTATTAAATGCTTACTTTGTGACCTCATATCTGCTAATCTTTAGCGATTCGAGCTAAGTAGAATGTTCTCTATGTGTACTATGAAGTCAAACTCAGACTCCAGTGGGAAGCTGGGATGGTCACAATGTTCTGTAAATAGTAAAGGACTTTCTTGGAGATACAAAGGAGGACGCTGCAACCATAAACATTGTTTATAGAAAGAAGAATTTGGATCACCTGACTTTTTATAGTATCTGGAGAATGAGTTGGCTATGAGGAGAATGTTTGGAGACTTCCATTACCATTGCAACTCAATATTTGAGAGTACTAAAATTTCTGCAGATATGGGTTATGTTAAAGAGAACATCAGATTTTTGCAAATTTGTAAGAGGTTTTGATTAAAATTTAGTTTCGGGAATAAAAGTTGGCTAGCAGAAAAGGTCTTTTAGCATTTGTTACCAATTAATTTAAAAAATCTTAGATTTTAAAAGTTGGCTTTGAAAGTCGACTGAGCACTCTGTGGGTATGCCGCATGGTTCCTTCTGTTTACTAAATGGTCTTGAATTTTAATGAGTTACATGTAGACTTTAATCATATTCTTTCCATAAAGTCTACAGTATTAATCAGTATTTTGTACATTTTTCTCTAAAAATATATATTAAGCAACACTTACCCATAAAAATTAAGTTATGTTATCTTTTCCTCTTTTATTTGAGAATATGTTCTTCCAACATACTTTTTCTTGCCCATGTCATAAATATTGACATCATAAGAGTCATTTCTTAAAGGTAGCAACTAAAAGAGAAGTTATATAATGAAGATGTTTGAGTAAAACCCTCTAACTTAAGATTTGACTTAAAAATTTACTTCTGATAGTTGTTCCTCTCTTCTGAGGATTCAGACACACGTTACACTTAAAAACAGAGCTCTATACAATTAGAACAATATAAGTGTTTTTATTATTTTTTAAATTTGATAAGGCACAAACTAAAAGGAATTGTGGATCTCCTGTCATGACATTTCTAGTCTCTTACTCTTCATTTGCATGTCAGTGTGCTGGTTTTGTTTCTTAAAGAGGGCTGCAAAATGTAAGGAAGGGATAAAACTGTATTCTTAATTCGTTACCTCCTTAATGCTTTCCTTAACTTCTTTTAATGTCTACTTACGTAATATCTTATGTCTGTCAACAGCAAGAAAGTAAATAGCTGTGATCTGTGCATAGATACTCTCCATCAACTGTATAGGACATGGGAATCTTACCCAAGTCCTTATTTAAGCTTCAATACACTCTTATGAAATATGAGTGGTCCACCATGAAACATTTTTAAATGTACATGGTAAGAAGCAAAAACACTTAGAAAGGAAGGATTCCAGCAGGCTAAGTTGACTAGAAGACAGTGACCTATGTTTCTGGATGAGCTGATTACTTTTTATCTTAGGAGGGCAAACAGTAAGAAACCTTCAGGCAGTTTAAGAGATGAGCACTGTAAAATGATAAGAGCAAGTTCTACCCTCTGGCGTGGCTATCTGCTGCTTAATTGCTCTGCTTTCAGAGTTTAGAGATGCATAAAAATAGGAAGAGGGTTTTTTTTTTTTTAATTGTCTAGCTTCAGCACTGACAGACAAGTGAAGCAAAGGCCAGGTCTTTGTTACAGGGTGCATCCTCAAATCTTGATTTGAAACCTGCATCTGTCATCTGCCTGAGAGTGAAGCAATGGGCAGTGGTAGGAACAGGTGCAGAACTTGTTTTCAGCATTTCTTTCTGCTGTGTTCTAATTGCCAAAGGCAGAAGCTCCAGGGGAGAATGATAAGATCCAGAAATGGTTTTCCAAGAAGCTTTCAAAATAGTTAAACAGAAGGAAGTAGTTTCTAAATACAGATGGACTGTGTTTTGAAAAGACACAAAATCTTTTACACACATATTTTTCTTCCATTTTTTTGTGCTTCCAGTAACTATGGAAAATGAGGCTAAGGAAGTCAATGTATTTTTTGAAGTCACAATTCCTAATTATAACCAACTGTACTATTTGTCTACAGTTTGGGATTATCTTCCTTTATCTATTATGCTCTCCTTTTTAAATCAGCTTTGAGTTACTCATAAGTTATTCTTAAATAGCTATTGCTATTAGCATGTTTGTCTTGAACATTTATCAACTTAATTATGTATTTGAAGTGTTAAGACATATAAGATACATTCTAAAAGGTTATACAGGCTGTAATATAGAATTGTAGAATATATATATTAAAACTACATATTGAAATAGTAAACGAAGAGAGTGTGTATTTTCAGTGGTTGTCAGTCCACAATTACTGACTTTGACGTGTTCAGTGTAACTGCAGGAGAAGTGAAATGGCATGTGTATGTACCTGCATTTGATGCAAAATAGTGTGTGTGTGTGTGTGTGTGTGTGTGTGTGTGTGTGTGTGTTGGGAGTAAGATCATTGTGTTTCTTATTCATTTGTACATTACATCAATTTATTGTACAGATAGCTTTTAGGGCAGTTAACAAATGATGAAGAAAATTCTTTAATTTGTGAAAAGGATTTTTACTAATCAGAGGTGTCCCGTGATCATGGGATAGAAAGAAGAGAGAAGACAAGACAAACTAAATAAGGGTCTATCCTCTTCTAAAAATGAATGAGCACCAACTCCATCTGAGAAACAAAAGGTGATTTATTAAATAGAACAAAATTTCCAGAAATTCCAGGGAAGAAACCAGCATAGTATTATCAGACCATCATCTTAGCTGAATAAACTGTAGATGGCCTCTGTGTCTTCACAGACTTTTAAAAAACCATAGACCACTATATGTAAACTACATAAGAGAAGATAGGTTACATGTTAACATCTAAATGGGTGTTGCTTGACTACCAATGTTATAAACATACATTGTGTTTATTATGAATACTACTTTTACAATCACAGCAAGATCACCTTTTATAATATGTAACTAAAATGGTGATATGTTCTAAAGTTTTGGGAGGTCAGCTTCTTTGTCTTGCTTGTTTGGGGTTTTGCTTTGCTTGATTGATTTTTGTTTGTTTGTTTGTTTTAATGCAGTGTCTCACTATATAGGCCTGTCTGGACAAGAACTTAATATGTAGACCATGCTAGACTGAGTCCACCAGAGATCTTACTTACTATCTTTGCCTCTTGAGTGCTAGAATTAAATGTGTGGTTTGAATATTCACACTTAGTTTCCTCAACTTCTTAAACATTTGTATAATATTTGCAACTACTCTTTTGACTCAGATTAGCTATTAACAGGAAGAATTTATATTAAATTGTATTTCAAAACAACTGAGATTTCCAGAATGATTGTTCAAAAAGCAAATAGATAAATCTCTTGTTATTAGTGGCAAATAGATGTATCTCCCCATCTTCATCTCCCAGAAGGCTGGCTAATTGGAGACACTCATCCTTTCAATCATTTAAGGTTGAGATCCATTTGCTCTTTGGTTATTGTTGTGAGCAGACTAACATTCTTTTGTTTCTGATGGGACACTATTACCTGATAATAATGATGGATAAAGTGCTGCAACGCCAGTTTATAACGTTTTTTTTACATTTCTTGCATGTAGCCAGTTCTACACAAAGGGACAGTCAGCTCAGATTCTGAGGAAGACCTCTTGCCAACACTGGATATCTATACATGGTAGAAAGAAGGAATACTCAAACCTTGAGATAAATGCACTAGTCAATATATATATATACATATATATGTATGTATACATATATATAATTTGAATTTTAATAAAAATATCTGGGTATCTGGAGAGATAGATCAGTGATTAAGAACTCTTGTTGCTCTAATAGAGTATCAGAGTCCGTTGCCAGCACCCACATAGGACTGCTCATATCATCCTTTAACTTCCTGTAACTGCAGAGGACATACACTATCTCTTGACCTCTGTGAACACCTTGTACATATGGCAAGAGACACATACACTCACACACACACACACGTGTACATGTGCAAATCTAACTCTTAAAAAATTATTCCAGTGTTGTATAGGTATCATGTGGCTGGATGTCTAAACACTGAGGAAAGTGGGCCATGTTCAATGTCATGAAAGGTTCATTGGGTCCAAGGGAGAAAAAATAAGTAGTTTTTCTTGAATATGTACTTAGAACTGGCAAGCTTATATTTCCACACCCTTCTATTAGCTTGTGCTAGTCAGAAAGCCAT